CCCAGTATTTCTCAATGAATTATTTTTACAAGTGGAAAGTGAACTTTAAGTATGCATTAATGTTCTCCATTGTTGATAAATATGAACTTTTAAAATAAATATGGACCTTTTAAAATAAAATAAAATTATGCTACATTTGACTTCTCATTTCAGTACATGTTATTGTCTTGGTGTGTGAAACATCACAAATATTCTTTAAGAGAACAAAAAGGTAAATTTGGTGATATAAAATTGGCGGGTTAAACATTTCTTGGTTTGTTATCATTTATGCATTCATTTATCTGTTCCTTTACCATACACACACACACACGCACACATACACACACAATTTTTCTCCCAATGAGGAAGCAATCCAGTAGAAAACTTACCAATTAAAGTATCAGGAACAACTATCTAAGCAATTGCTGTATATGCCAAATAGATTCCTATATGAAAGTAGCTGTTGGAATTAAATGCATGCGTGGCTAATGCATCCAGAAGTTAGAGTAGTGGCTCCTATGCTACTGCTGTAATTGGCTAAAGGCATGAGAAGACAAGTTTTTACAAAGTCTGAATAACTGTGGAACAATGTATGTCTCAAAACTGTGATACATTGGGGCCTCCCCAGTGGCGCAGTGGTTGAGCACTGGGTTGCAAAGCTGCCCGCAGCCTCTGCAGCACTGGTTCGATCCCCGGGCGCAGGGCGAAGGTCCCACATGGCACGCAGACCTCTCCTGCCGCCCGCTGCTCCCCTCAGCAGTGTACTTCATCAGTCTGCCTGCTCTGCTCTCCGCTCTGGCTTTGGTGAATTCTCTCACCCTCCCGTGCTTCTGACTGTACCCAGTGCTTGTAAAAATAAATAAATAAATATTTTTTTAAAATTTTTTTTTATAGAGGCATGTTTTATTTATTTGTTTGTTTGTTTGTTTGTTTGTTTTGTTTATACATGCACTGGGTACAGTCAGAAGCGTGGGAGGGTGAGAGAATTCACCAGAGCCAGAGCGGGGAGCAGAGCAGGCAGAAGGACTGAAGTACACTGCTGAGGGGAGCAGCGGGTGGCAGGAGAGGTCTGGGCGCCATGTGGGACCCTCCTCCGATGTCCAGGGAGCAGCCGGGGATCAAACTGGCGCCTCAGAGGCCGCGGGCAGCTTCGCAACCCAGCGCTCAACCGCTGCGCCACCGGGGAGAAAAAAAAAACTGTGATACATTGGGCCAACCTGGTTTTGTAATTTAGCAAGTTCCCTTGTTGATTCTTTAAGCATACTCACTTTCAAAAACCACTGTATTTGGTTAATAAGCATTTATTGTAAGATGAGGACATACTTTAGTGTAAATTATCGTCATCATCATTTCAAGGCTGCGGGCATCAGAATCTTGAAAGTTTTAAAATCATAGGTTTCTAAGTTCATCCCAGAGGTAGAGAGATTATGGAAAAGATAATTTCCAGCTTTATTATGCACTGCAGCCAGATTCGATGTAGAATACTTTGAGAAACACCAAATTATCTTGCTCTGAGGGAAAATGAGTTGTGATAGGGAAGAGTTTGAAGTATTGGTAAATTTTCCATAAAAGATACCTCAGGGTGCTGTATTAAAACAGGGGTATGGAAATCTATGAAGAAGAGGTGTAAGTGAGAAAAGGGTTAGGCAGGGAGGGCAATGTGTGTAGTAAATGATTTCACTGTTTGGGATTCTCTATGAAGTTTAGATACAGTTATTTTGTGGACTTACTGTGTTTTTTTTCCCAAAGATAATTTCATTAGCAGACAAAATGGCAGGACCTCTTTCTAAGGCAAGGGCATGGGTTTTAAGCTAAGTTTTTACTACAGTCAGCAAGTTGGAGTGTGTTTGTGAATATCACAGATTTGAAAAGGCCATTGTGGGACATCAGGAAATGCAATAAATGGAGAGGCATGTGAGCCTTTTGTGATATGCTCCAGCCCTCATGCAGTTGTTGCCTCGGAGAGTCATCCTTTATATTAATTAATGAGATTTGCTACTCATGGTATACTCAGATTGATTGTAACATACACATCATGTTTTAAATTATTTACCACATTCACATTGTCAAAATAATTACCATATTTCTCCTGTGGCTTTTCAAGTAATCTAGTTTGAGAAGCATTTTTTTCCATTCAGTGACAATTTGTGTCAGGCATTTTGATGGATGATATGGATACATATACTAAGAAAGTATTTTTGTGCCTTTGGTGTTCTGACCTTGTTAAGCAGCTAGTCTTAACCACATGCCCTTTCCCCCCTTAGCTTCCTCCTTCTCCCACAAAATGAACAAGAAAGAGTTGAAGGAAATAAGTTTCTCTTCTCAGGTTGCACATTAAAATGACCCGAGGAACAGTAATTCAACCCACAATGTAGAGGTGCAAGAGGCCCCACTAGAGTTTCAGATGGTGTGACTCAATCTTTGTATGCTTACTTTAGTTGGTGATTCTAGAAAGTGGGGATAATATGTGCAAATCTGATTTGAAGAACGAATATAATCTATTAGGGAGAATGAATCTGGGGCATAGAGAGCAAAGGGGACCTGGAAAGCAGATGATGCTGCAGGGAGAGTTAGAGAACTAAGTACAAAGGACCCCAACAGCCAGGGGAAGCAACAACTTGCTCCCAAGAGCACTAATTGACTGTCATGATTGGATTTTCATTTTCACAAGGTTACGCTGATTGCAGTTTGAATAGTAAGAGATTGAAGATAGGGAAAGTTGAAGTTATTAAGAGATTATTGCAGGGCTCTGGGGAAGAAAAGGAGCTAGTGGAAATGGAGAAAATCGGTTGAATTTGAAAGCTATTGAAGAATTAAAATGGAAACCCAACAAACAGCCAAGTGAGTTAGTGAAACTAAAATGAGCAATTATTAAAAAATGCCATGGGCTTCTTCTTCCCTTCATTAAAATGGACTCAAAATGGAATATTGAAAAGCATCACAGTTAAGTTATACCATGTGTGTGTCAGATGCATATCTTCTGGAGTTTGTAGCAAGCATGTAAAACTGGGAAAAACTGTCCAATAGAAAAATAGGAGCATACCATAAATTAGGTCAGATAAATAATAAAATTAAAAAAGAACATATTTTGAAGACCTGATGAGGACTAACACAGTCATCTGAGGAGAAGTGGAGTCTCCTAGCTGAGGGGTTATGACCAGCTCACTGTATGTTGCAGGAATCAGAAATAAGGTTGGGCTTCACTTATTGGGGATCTAGAATGTCAGGCATGTCTAGTTTTTACTAAGCATATCATGACAGGCTGTTCACAGTGTTTTTTTTTTTTTTTATTCCTCATATTATATCATTGTGAATAGGCTGACTTTACATGAGGAAACCATACTCAAGATGATGTTATGGTTAGTCTAAGGCTGTATCATAAGGAAGTTTATTTCATGCTACTGAATTTGATGCAGAACTATACAGTAATAACAATCCTATCTCGGGTTTAAGTCTAGCTCTTTTATTTGGATATTATGGGACAAATTTACCTGCTGTGTAAATCAAAGATAAAAACCCTAGAAATGCCATAAATTGGAGATGGGACACTGACAGACACTGAAAAGAAGGGACATGGGAGATGTTCACATTTGTGACAAGGCAACATTAAGGAAGAGAGGGTTGCTGGGAAACACAAAGAGAGCTTTAAGAGAACAGGAAAAAATGCTTTAAAACATCTTTAAAGGAAATGAGTAACTAGGGAGAAAATTCAATCATAGGAAGATGAGAGAATTAGTTTAAGTTGGGACTTAAAAGGCAATAAGTGTTCAGTAGAGAACCAAATTAATTCTTTGAGTTTAAATCAGCACCTTTTTAGGGGGTGGTTGTCAGTGTGTCATGCAAAGATCAGTTCCAAAGGTCTTGATGCTTTGGGGTGAAAATTGTCAAAGCCTCCTTGGTCTTATCTGAAGGAAAGGTGAGGTGTTCTTCTAACCTCTGAAAAAAATATAGCAGAGATTTCAAAAGAAAAACCTTTTAAAAAATAATTCCTCTGGCTGTAACTATTTGCTATAGTAACTAGGAGTGATGATTAGTGGGGACGAAAAGGAGAGGTGAGGTGTTCAGTCTCTAATCCACCAACTAGGAAGGGAAATAAATCACACAGTTAAATTCAAACTGGATTGAAGCACTGTAGTCAAAACTCTGAAGCACTCCTGGCATAGGGAGTAAGGGGAGGGCTATATATCTTCTCACAGACTGCTAAATTTTAGAATTAGGAGAGATCACTCATATATTCCAGTGTCTGTCATTTGGCAGATGAAGGATACCAGAAAAGCAGAATGACTTGGTAAAGTTCACACATTTAAGGGTGATGAGCCATTCCTTTGCTCAAAATCCTCGCTGGCTCTCTAAAGTCTTTCAATAGGCCATGGCTTTAGCTTCTGCTCTTCTACAATCTGGCCTCAAACATTCCAATCTCATGCTCTCCTGTTCTCCAGATGAAAAGAGACCAACTGTTCTGAGCAAACATTGTGGTTTAAAAGCGTCAACTCTGGGACTAGAAAGTCAAGGATGAGAAGTCAGGGAAGTGAGTCATGGGGCAAAGATATTCCAGACAAAGGGAATGACATGTGCAAAGGCACAGGCTTAAAGAGGCAGGGAGGGTAGGCATGTTGGTGGCATGTTCAGTGCAGTGAGTGTGGGTTTAGAATTTATACTCCTTAGTGAAAGACTTTGTGAGATATGCCAAGAGTTCAGCTTTTCTCCCTTTGAGGAATTTAAGCAGAAATGACATGTTCAGATTGATTAGTTTGAGAGATAATTCTGGCTACATTTCTATTGCTATAGTTTGATGTGTGAATTATGTTTCTGCTAATATTTAATTTGGGAGTTTAGAGAGTACCATCTCCCTTGCATCAATGCTGTTTCATTGGCTAGTTGGGTATGAATATATGTTATTAGAGTGTTGCATAAAGAAATTAGATATTCTAATATGTTTGTATGTGTGTATCTAATGTACATGGGCTATTACATGAACAATCAGAATTTGAATTACTTCATTTTTAATTTATTCTTTTAAGGTCTGACAGCAGCAGCTGCAGCAGCTGCCGCTGCTACCAATGCAGCTATCGCCGAAGCAATGAAGGTGAAAAAAATCAAATTAGAAGCTATGAGCAACTATCATGCCAGTAATAACCAACATGGAGCAGATTCTGAAAATGGGGACATGAATTCAAGTGTTGGTAAGTTTTATGTTCACTGAAACTTACTGTGATCATTTTGCTACCAAGTTAAACATTCTTTTGCAGAGCAAACTGCTGCCCACCCATTCAAGATGTGCCTACTTGTCATATTGCGAACAGTATATTTTGAAGATACCATTTTCCTTACAACATGCACTCTAAATAAATTAAGCAACTCTAATTAGCAACATTATTTTTTGTTCTAGGATACACTATATAACTGTAACTTCTACCACTTAAGTCCATTTGATATCTTTCATAATACAAATGATTTTAAATAGAATTTAAAAATAATGACTATAGCTAAGGTTGCAGAAAAATATTTACTAACAAAACCATACACTATCATTTTCATTCTTAATGCACTTATTATCAAATGAGAAATTTATATTAGCAGAAACATATAAACTTAATCTTTTCATGTGTTGCAGAATAAGACTTATGTTGATAATTCACTCTACATATAATCGTTACCAATTTCCTTCTATATCTTTTCTTTCCTGAAGTATTGAGAGGGGTGAAAAGTTAATAGTCACTATAAAATCAAAAGGAACAACTTTCTCATTGCAGAATTCATTTGGGTAATTTGTTTTGTCAAACATGACTTCAAATGTGAGTTAATATTTTTATTGATAATATTTTTAGCATCTCTGTGTCAGTAAGAAAAAAAATATTCTGCCACTGCACTGTGGTGTTTGCCTTTAAAGAGTAGAAATCATACTCAAATTATAATTTAATGAGAGAAGTTTGGATACTACTAGATGGGTGCAGGATATTATATCCAACATATATTCGTGAAGGCCACAGTAATTCATGTCATTTCAATTTCATTTTCTTTCCTGTGCACTGTTATAACACATTGTTTCTTTAGATACTCAGCAAAGGTCTACTTCCCAGTCCACTGACTTACAGTGAAGGGTATATGAGGGAATACTATGGATTTTACTAATCATTTTCAAAACAATTCTGTGGAAACATACACGAGGTACAAATGTTTAAGTCAGAAGTGCTTATGAAATATACACACAAAATACAAAATGCCACTTCATTTTGTGTTGTTACAAGAAGCTTTTAATGTAAAAAAAAGAGAGAAAATAGAATTTTTCAGCAGAACTACACAAGGGGATAGAGAAGGAGCGATAGAAGTGGATTCAATTTATAAGTTAGTTATAAAGAAGGTGGCAATGCTTGGAAGGATAAAATGATGTGGAAGAGAACCAGACATGGCTTTAAAACTAAAAAGGACTAAGAGAAGCATCTGGGCTTGTGCATGGTATCCTCACAGATGCAAGGTGAGATCCGCAGGTTGTGTAGGACATAGCTTATACACCTTCATATAGACTTTTTAAAGTTAAACAGTGTTGAAGTGAAACAAACAAAAAATTACAGTTTTTGTTTTACAGCTATTGAGCACTTATTGCTTTAGAATAGCAGTCTTGTACTTTGATCTATAAAAGAGAACAAAATGAGACAATTTTAAAAACAAGTAATTGGCTACAATCAGTTATAGTTTTCATTCCAAAACATAAGCTGCATTGTTTTCACATGTTAGCAGAGTAGGTCTTAAATGCAGGCTGTTCTTTGTAATTGGTGTTGGGAGGAGGGATCTTTAAGCAATTTACTAACATTTAAAGTATCATGCTGCAGCTCAAAATTTCTGACCAACAGAGCAGAAGTTGCCTTCAGAGAACCAGTGTGCATAAGATAAAGAAAACATGGCTCATGAAGTGCTGACAACCATTTAATATTTGATATTATACGGTGACTTTTGCTTACTGACCAAAGTGTAGTTTGCCTTAATTACTTGGGTGCATAGGTTATCAAAATGACTTAAAAATAATTTAAAATTTCCTTTGTGTTTTAGTGGAAAAATTTCTTTCATTTCATCAGTTGGTTATTTATATTGCTTTTTGATAGTACCAGTTGAACCAAGAGCAGAAATATATTTGGATTTTCCTAGAGGGCCTTAATATTTCGAGATTGTGATAAAATCAGTGCTAAGTGAAGCAGGTAATTTGTAATACATATCTGTAGCTGATTTGGGGTAAAATGTTATCATTGTCATATTTATTCTATTCTCACATGCTGCCATCCTTTAAAAGTTTATGATTTATTATCCTTCTGAGCACACCCTCTGCCCACCCCTCCTTTATCTAATATAAAGCTGGGAAAGAGAGTTTGGGTGGGGGAGAGGGCTAGGGTAGGGTGAGTAGGGTGCAGGGCAATGGCGGGGGTGGGGGTTGAGCTTGTATAGATCAAAGCCACTGCTGAATGAAGAGCTGGCCCCCAGGCTTCCCTGGCTCAGAGGATAGTGCACTGCCTCATGGTAAGTGTTCGATAATTTTATGCTCTGTAACTCTGGTAAGTTATGTAAATTGTTTGAGTCTAACATTCCATATTTGGAACATGGCATAAAAGATAGTATCTACATTATAAGAATTAAAAGAGATCATATGTGTCCTTTGTTTATCTCATTATTTATTATACCATCTGCTTATCACAGTATTTGTTCAGCAGGGAGGTTAGTCATCTTGGTATTGCTTTTGTTGTTATGTCTCCAAGCTTGCTCTTCTGCAAATTACCTTCTTCCTCTTTTTCCTGCCATCAATGACTTCCTACTCAGTTTTCCTGTTCTCTCTGCAAGGTATTATTTTTTAAGCTGCAGGCAGTGAGGATATTTGGGGGCAGCTGCTACGCCAACTCGATTTTGTTGTAAATTTGATTTTAGCTCTTTGTAGGAACACAAAAATAAGAACAGAGTCCCAGCACTCAAGGGGCATACCGTCTGTGGGCGGGATGGCTAACTAACAAGCAGTCAAAACAGGGTATACTGCGTCTTCCAGAAACATCAATTATCTCGGGTGCTTAAAAAGTGTATTGAAACATACGAATCCGGGAGGCATCCCAAGAATCTCAAAGGTCTCTATTTCAGACTATAAACTTACTGCTCTCATGAATCTATCAATTGGCTCTTTGAAGTACTGAAACCCCTCAGAGAAGTGGTAGTTAAATGATGTATTACTGCTGCTCGGTCCTGCCCAAATCCAGTGACATTTTAAAAATTAATTCAGTGTTTGCTTTTTTTTTTTTTTTTTTTTTGTACTCATCTGACTCACAAGTTGTATTAAATATTTTTGGCTTTCCTTTGTAGGAGCACTTTTTTCCCCCTTGGTTGTAAATAACTCCTTATTGCCCCAGAAAATAGATTTTGCTGTTACTTGGTTTGTTTTGGCTCAGTGAGATGAAAGGATATTTTTATTTTAGATGACCTTTCCGGTTCTTAATATGAATGTAAAAAATTAGCCTGAAAAAGGTGTTTAAGAAACCTTTGACACTGACAGATAATTATTTTTTATCCCAACTTTAGATGCTAACCTTGAGCTCATATCTTTCCAACAGAGCGATCATTTTAGGAAGTGAGGACCTCAGGATAGATCCAAGTGAGGTATCAGCACACTGAGTAAAATATATGACCATGTCGCCATTCTCCCTCATCCACAATCAATTGGATTCTTTTAGTTTAATATTTACTTGCTAAGATGAGATGCTAGTCTGCATGGTGATAAACAGTCTGCTCCTGGCTTCTGAAGGTGACCTGTCAGTTCATATGGACAAATCTCCTGCTTACTGAAATGTACAAAATAAATCATTAAAGCAGGCAGGTGCTCATTCCCAGATTTAAATCACCATAGATTTATGATTTGAATTAATGCTTCATTTGGCCATAGAAATAGATGCTGAGACAAATGATATGCACTGGTTGGGGTTTCCATACTGTAACCATCCTGATATTGATTACTGAGATGTCTTTGCAATCTCTTGTTTATATCAAGTACTATCTTGTGACAGGTTGGCTGATATAAGCTACATTGCAGATAAGAAGGAAAAATGTCCTGGATTCTTTTTAGTGGCAACACTATCCACAACATTCAGGCCAGATAAATTGCCTTTTTTTTTTTTTTTTTTTTTTTTTTGCTTTAAGGAATGATCTACATAACCAGTTTAAAATATACTGCTTGGAAATTGGGACTGGGATATTGGAAAGACAGAATTTAAATTCTGTGAACCCAAGGTCAATTCCACAGTATCTAGAGCTGTGTTTTTGTTCGCTTCTCTCTCTCTTTTATTTTTTTTGGCATCACACACATTTTTGATGATACTAAATCACAATGTTTTAATCTAAATATAGGAAACTTAATTTTATTTCTACCTTTTAAATGCTACATAAATATTGACACAGTGAGCATCTCTTAATAGTTTGATATTTAAATGCTTTGTTAAACCTAACTTCTTACTCCCTTAACTAATGACAGCAAAGGAAACAACTCTCCAAAGATAAATACATTAAATATTATTTGCAAATGCCAGACTTTGTGGACTATAATTTACCAAGAGGCAGGAAAAGACTGCATTTTTACTTCTCTTAACATTTTATTTAAGGAAAACACTATGTACACAGTTTAAAGAATACTCAGAGGATTTAAGAGGGACCTTTGCCACTGGCTAATATCTGACTCATAGAACTGGTAAACAGCTATCAACAATAGTAGATTGCTTGCTTAGAAGGAAATGAGTTCATATCTATTCAAAATGTGATCTCAAAACAGATGTCCCAAGAAAATCTCATTGTTTAAACTATAGTCATAACCCCCTAACTGTTGTTATTTCTTTGAGGAAGTGAAGTAATCTTAAGACTTCAGAATTTCTCCTTCTGATCACCATGGGACATAGTGAGGGTGCATTGATGTAGTGATCCACAAACCTTAACATATTTCACATGCCTGGAGTGTACAGTTCCTATTTATTTTCTCAAACTTGGGGTAGCTGCAAGGCTGTAGGAGTTTCCAGTAAAAGCTAGAACTGGACTTTGGGATTAACAGCTGTATTCTACAGCAGTATGCTTACTCCCAACTTCTCTCCATCTCAAAACAAAACAAAAAGCCAGGCAGATAAGGAGATAAAATTATCTTCCTCTGCTGACCATCTCCTTTTAGTTTTTT